CCCTAATTTAGCAGTGTAAGACTAGAGGGAATGCAGCTCCTCATCATCATCCACCGCTACTCTTTCACCAACGAATAATGGGATTGACCGTGACATTATAACGCCTCCACGGCTGAAAGGGTGAGCATCTTCGGTGTGACGAGGATTCGAACCCGCGACGCTCAGATTGCAAGTCGAGCACCCTAACCTACTGGCCAATAGTACGAGATAGGCCTATAATTATAAATTGGTTCATTAACCTTAGTAATTTTGTAAATTTAACCCCTTCTTTTTTTTTTAGGAATAATCAAAAACTGTTTTCAACAGAAAAAGTTGAAAGTGTCTAAGTACTTTTGTCAGTTTGGCTTATCTGTGTAAACTTAAACTCACTTAGTTTGAAGTATAGAAAAATACTAATGCGCTTCCCATCGGTGCCCTAAAACGAGGTCACTATAAGTCTGTTAATTTTACTCAAACACCAGAATAAATCATCTGCAGTATTGTTTTAATTACCATTATACAAGTGCACTATTGACCTGCTAGTCTGAATTGCCTCATTACAAAAATACAATCCTTACCATACTGCACAATAGCAAGATCCACTTATTTTGAACTGAAACGTTGTGTTTTTTTTTATTGAAAAGTTATGCAAGAACAGATGTTCTTATTATACCTTAAAGCGTTTTGATTAACTTAGAATAAGATTTAAGAAAAAGAAAGTTGTTGTTTTTAGAAGATGATGTACTTAGTCCAGTCCTACAACTTTTATGCTCCTTCAAACCGCTTCCCATCATAAGCTGTGATTAAACATACCCTAAACCTCTTTTACTTTTATACTTCCTGTTCATTAACCGCTTCTTGTGTACAACGTTCTCATTGGTCATACAAACGATAGACGGCACAGTTCAAATGTAAAGGTTATGCACCTATTATTTCGCGCTAATCCCTGGTGGTTGTTCCGAGTGAAATACAGTCCACACTACAGACTCCAGTTTTCAATGTTTTCCCGTTTCAGTAAATTTGACATTTTAAACCAGACTTTGAACATAATTTTCTAGAAACCTATCATAATAAAGACCAAGTTTATGGGCTTAACTAGATTAATTTTTTATTCGTAAAATGTTTTAATGTTCCCACTAAAAAGTGTTTTTGTTTTTGATTATACTGATTTTATCATAATGTTGCGTCATCGAGATCATGTGATTCTCACGCCCTCTACTTTCTAGAACTATCCCGTATCTTGGCGAATGCTCTAGTATTGACTAGATAGAGGGTAGACTG